GAGGTATCAAGCATCGATGCCAATAGGGAAGCTTGTGCTTCACAACATTACGATAAAACGTTCTTTATCGGATAGATCCCAAGGCCAGCTGAGAGAGTCTCTTGAAAGTTGTGTTTCCCTTCACGAATAGCCTCGTCATTTATTTGCGAATGTTTTCCGCTGAAGCTCATTTCATCACGGGTTTGTGAAAAGCTTTCTGTAGGAATGTTGGGCTAAGCTACATTTGGGACTTTAATTATAATCTGTAGGAATTTTGGTTGACTTGCATCAAGTTTTTCGCAGTCGATACAGGCTTTTGCGCGTTGCATAGAAAAATAGCGTAGTAGCTCCCTTGGCAATGATGTTGTTCCAAACTCGTCACTCCTAGCAGTGTTGTATCCATACTTTTCCGAGGAATAACATTCAGTCGTCATTACAAGTGTGAAGTCACAAGCATGATTCTCTGCTCGCAGCTCATGTAGCTGCTCGATGTACCACTAATCTGTCGAGCATTCTATGAGGACAGAATAAGGGCCCTTCTTGCAGGCAGCTTCAGATCGCTCCTATCCACGTATATGATCAATAATAAATGCCAAAAAACTCCCTAAAGTGAAGTGAAGAAGTCTTTCAAAATAGCGAAAATAGGAAGTCGCTATAATAATCTATCCATTTTCATCAATTACAGTAAATGCGTTAATTGTTCGACATAACACGAAAAAACGCGAATTCGCGTGTTCTCGTGTTTTCTTTGTAACATGAGTGTTTTAGCAGCTAAATTACAGATTTTTACATCAATGGATTCGCATTTGAAAGCTCTATCCAGATATACCAATCTTTTCGATTGAATTACGTTAGAAAATTACTTTGTAAATTACCTGGAGCTATAATTTGGCGAGCGACACATCGCTAATTATCCCCATTGGCAAACTGGAGGATCTCAAATTTCGAGGCGGTAAAAATGGGAACAAAATGGGTTATAATTTACATATTTGAATTCAGCTCATAGCGATTATTTTGACGTCAAAAATGGAGAAATTTGTAAGCATTTCTTTAATTCACAGTGCAAAAATTGATCCACAAAATGTGGCAGAAATCCAGAACTGAGCTGTATGGAACTTACACATATACTAGAAATAGATTCAAGAAGCTAATAAGCTCAAGCGCATAAAAGTAATCAGATTTTTTTTTAAAATTTCATTGGATGAGTTAACGCGTATCATCAACTTTGGTGTACACCATCCAAATAAATAATTTTTCTTAGTGACAAGAATACTGGTACCCAAACAAACAAATGAATAAAATATATCCACTTTTTGGTGCACCATTTCTTTAATATTGTGGCCCAAACTGGGCACATTTCTACCTGTAGGCAAGGGTTGTGCATCATTTCAATGTTTGGGATGAATTCTCGGGTGTAGGTAGCCGTTCATACAAGCCCTTTGAACTTGCCTTTATTTTAAACCTTAACCCTATTTTCTCTAGACATTATGTATCAGGCCACGGCACG